GGTCCCATTGGTTTATTCTTGCTTTTATTTCTATTGCTTGAGTAGACTGTTCTAGGAGAACATTTTTGAGATGTATGTCAGATAATGTTTTGCCTATATTTTCTTCTAGGAGGTTCATTGTATCTTGTCTTATGTTTAAGTCTTTGATACATTTTGAGTTTATTTTTGTGTATGGTGTAAGGTAGATCCTGTTAGGTATATTTTTATGTTGTGCTTCCTGGACCTGTGGATTCATATTTTTTAAATCAGTTTTGACAAATTTTCAGTCATTACCTTTAGAAATATTTTCTCTCTTCCATTTTACTGTTTTCTTCTGGGACTCCAGTTTGACATATGCTGGGTCAGGGGCTGGCAGACTTTTTCTATAAAGGGCTTCACAGGTTACATGCAGTCTCTGTTGCAGACTCTTCGTCGTGTTTTATTTTGACAATAAAGGCTGTTCTTAGCTCACAGGAAGTTACATGCTTAGTGGAAAAATATGCCAGACTTTCTTTTCCTCTTTCCCATGACTCTTAATCTCTCATAGTTTTCATATCCTTATCTCTTTGCAACATTCTATATAAAATCTTTTTATTTCTCTTCCAGCTCTCTTAGCAGATAGAGAGACCCCCAAATTGGGAAGCCCCGCAAACAGGTGGGCAAGCTGCCATCCCTCCCTGCCCAGATGTGGGTCCTTGTTCGTCGACTGAGAAAGAATTCTCAATAGAGACAGAGGGACAAAGTGAAAAAGAAAGCTGCTTTGTAACTCAGAGAGAGAAGGGAAAAAACAAAGAAAGAAAGCATTCAAGCAGGGAGCCGTCAGCCAGGTAGCCAGTCAGGACAGCTCCGGCCCCCCAATCGGGCCACGGGGTCTTTTATTGGAAGCCTCTGCCATGCTTACCTTTATTCCGGTGGTGCCAGGCATGTTCTGTTACAGGCCTTCTCCTCTTGAGGAACTCAGCCCTAAAACAGAAACTTGGGTGGGAAAAAAGAGAACAAAGAAAGAGATACTGAGCTATGTCCTTGGAACTGATGCAGCAGTTGTGGAACATAAAATGTCCTGTTGTACGGCTGTGTCCTTGGAACTAAGGAGCCAGCTGCGGGATGAGAGGAACAACCTGTTTTTTTTTTTTTTTTTAACAGCCTGGCACTTTCTTTCCCTTGATGTTAGTCAGCCAGAGTTAGTAAGCCTGCCTCATCCCCCCCTCAGCTCTAATGCTGTGTTCATTGAATTCAGCTATTATTATATTTTTATTCCAGATATTCTTTTTCTTTCTTTTTTAATTTGTCATCTAGTAGCCAGAGAACTTCACTGACTACGGTTAATTTTTTTCTGCATAAAGAGCTGTGTTTAGAGTGGAAGTCCCAAACACAGCTTTTCCACCTCACTACTATTCCAAGTTTTAATCTTTTCTATGCTGTTGCCGCAGAAATCGGCCTTAGGTCCATTTCCCCTACCCCTCTTCCCGCTGCCAACTTCTGTCGGCGGGCTCCCGGCTGTGCCAGCTCCTTGCTGCCCTGCTCCAGCTCCTGCCTCCGAAGCCTGCCTCTGGGCTGCTCTGGGCCACCGCGGCCCAGGCTCCCGGGGGCTGTCACACTGTCTCCCAAACCAAAGCTCTTGGTTGCTCAGGCCCTAGTCAGCTCTAAGATCGATCCACATTTATTCGTTGATATGTTTCTTTTGAGGGCAGAGGTTATCAGTCATCTCTGCTACAATTTGTGAGAACAAAGCTACTAAAAAGAGTGTGTACTTTCCAGCCTATCCTGGCTGTGGACCTGGCAGGTTCCTTGGGGCATCTAATCAGTCGTAGTGCCAGAAGCACGAATCCTGTGCTGGTTCGGTCTTTAGGAAAAAAATTATTGAAAAAGTCCTTTCACAAGGAATTGTTTATTGAGTAAGGAAGAGATGGCGATATATTTTAAAATATTTTTCAATATATTCTTCACAGAAGATTTCTCTCAAACTTATTATGTTTGAGCTTCTCTTTTTGGTACACATTTTTACTTTCTTTTTATTAAAAATTCACCAATGTTTTTACCTAATGCCATTACTAAGATAATACTTCAAAATAATGAGCCACATTGTACTATATTATGAACATTACTGTATACCAGCAATGAACTTGATATTTGGTGTAGGAATTTTATGTGTAGTAAATGCATTTTTTTTTTCAATTCAGGAAAATGTCTGACCAGGAGAAAGGCCTTGATGCTCAGAATGTTGTTGATGCATCAGGAGAAAGAAAGACGATCAATATTCCGGTTCCCTCAGAAAAGGTTCCAGAGTCAGATCAAACTGGAGACAGTGAATCTGAACCAGAACCATCTGCTGGAGGCCAAGAAAGAGGTGCTGAGTTACACAGTGACCAGAGCATTTCAAGCCTGGGACTAAATGATGTCGAGCAACGCATGGAAGACGGTACGTCAACTGAACAAGGTTCCTGTTCTCCGAGAGACTATGGAGACTCTCTGACTAAGTCTGCGAATGCAGTGCAGTCAGCCAAACAATACACAGAAGACCCTCTGACGTTGCTGGAAAAAATAAAGGCTGGGAAAGAATCTCTGAAAACATCAACGAAAGATGCTTCAGCAACAGGTATTACCTAGGGGTGAGTGGGTGTTTTTTTTCCCCTCATTTTGAAGAATGGTTGCTTTTTCTTGTTTGTTTTTGCTTGAAAATTTGTTTTATACTTGATATTGCTTTCCTCTCCCTTATCCATCAACCTTCTATGACTACACCACTTGAATCTCCTGATCATGTGTGAAGCCCCTCTGCTACTTACTCTGCAGTATCTGCTTTCCCTAAATAAATGGACATCATTAAATTTCAAATTGATATTTATTTTTGCCAAATCGAGTAGGTTTCTAAAGTGTTTAGGGACATATTTTTAGTATAATTATGAGTCTTTTGCATGCCACTTTGAAATTAATTGTACATAGCCAGCAAGCGGTGGGATGGGAGCTGGACTCCATGTTTTCCTCATTTCCTAGCCAGTACTCATTCCATGTATCTTGTGGCTTTTATGTATTTCCATGTTTCTGCTTGGTGTTAACTTTATATTGAGCTCCAGAAAAATCATTGTTGTATTTCATTATAGGTTAATTTTAAAGACATCAGGCTGATGGCTTGGCATGTTGGAGTTATTACTACGCTGTTGGGAACAAATCGGGAGGGGAGCAGCAGGAATTCTTCTTGGATGGTTAACTGACTGCTCCTTCTCCTCCTTGTCCATAAGTTTTGGGAGAGTTTCCATTCAGAGGGTGGAGAACATGGGCTATCATTTAACAGTAACAGCAACTCAGTTTGCCTGGTAGAATGTAGTGTTTGAATCCAGTGAAGTCGTTGGTCTTTGTATGGTGTGTCCACACGAGAATGCAAAGGAGAAGGAAGTAATGAAGCCCATTTATACCTAATTGAAGTTATTACCCCTCAGTTTCATTTTTTAGTATAAATTTGAGCTCTGTTTTTTATTTCTGTGATTCAAAAACAAACACACGGTGACTTAAAAAAAAAGTGGTCTTGATCCTGTACTTCTTTTGCTTAACTTTATTATTATTTTTAAATTGAAGTACAGTCAATTACAATGTGTCCGTTTCTGGTGTACAGCACGATGTTCCAGTCTTGCATATACACACATACATTCGTTTTCATATTTTTTCCATTAAAGGTTATTACAAGATATTGAGCATAGTTCCCTGTGCTACACAAAAGAAACTTTTTTTGATCCTGTACTTCTAGGCTCACAGACTCCTTAACACACTTTCCCTTCCCAAAGCTTGGGAAGTAGCTGCTATGAAAAGTTTAACATATACTAATCATAGAATTTTGAATCCAGGAAACAATTAAAATAGCCTGTGATAATTTAACATTTGTGAGAGTGTCCTCTCTGTTGATAGCAAACTGTGAAAACAAGTTTTAACGAGCTCAAGGGAGCTTGGCATCAACAAAGCCTCCTTAAATTTCATGCTGGTATTACTGATAAATGTCTCATGTAGCTTTATGAAAACTGCCCTGCCAGGCATCTAGAAACATACAAAACTATTTTGGCCTACAATGTGCACTCTACACTCCATTTTACCTTATTATATCTTCTTCATTAGAATTTAAAGTCTGTAGATGTGAAAGTTTACCCCATAATTAGTTTTTAAGGACTATATTTCCTTCTTATAATCTGTGAACTGATAATCATTTTATAATTATGGTTTTTCTCTATTTTTAATATGTAAGGGTCTTGATTTTTTATTTTATAGAGTTGGGAGTGAGCCACATAGTGTCCATTTTTGTGAAAAGTAGATTTGTACATAGTTATTCCAGATACTTGTAATAAAGTGATCTTCTGTTTTGCGTTTTGCCAACTATAGATATAAATCAACGATGGGAGGAAGAACGGACTTAGATAATCTCTTGTCGTTGCAAGGTCAAGGAAAATTTCCTTTGAAAATTTCCCTCTTGGTTTTTTTTTTTTAACTTCATGAATAGTCACTGATTTCCTGATGCATGTAATCAAAACATGCACGTTTTAAAATTCTGATCTCAGGGTCTCCATTTCTAATACTTACAAAAACGCTTGATTTTCTGAGATGTTTCCTATGTTTATATCTGAATAATAGATACTAGATATTGTTTAAAATTTTTAAATGATTTAAAAAGAATCTTCAAACGAGGTTTAGTTTCATTTCCTATTTCTCCGGGTATCCTGGGTGAGGAGGTAACCTCGAATGTGCAGTGATCCTCCAGCAGGCAATGGAAGAGAAATCTGAACTCCAAGTTGGATTTGGGGGAGCAGGCATTGGCCATTAATGTTAATTCTTGAGATAATGGACTGATTTTCAAAGCAAAATGTTGCAACTGAATGACACTTCTCATAGAAAATGAAAAGTAACTCTTATCACGGAGGTGTGGGAAGACTTGTCAGAAGCAGCCTTATTCTATGTGATTAAAAATTGTCCCATAATTCTCTGTCTGCTTGTGGACTCTAGGTTGCTGACCCTTGCTTTTAATTATGACTCTTTTCTCTTTTTATCTACAGTAAAAATTGTACTTCTTCCAGTGGGCCAGAAAATTATAATGCCCTTTAAAATCGACACCATTTTAAAATACCTCCAGGATCATTTTTCATCCCTGTTAGGTGTCCCACCTTATGTGCTGCAGCTGAGAAGTTCAGGTAAGCTGGAGGCTGGTAAACTTACCGAGACTTATTTTGTCTTAACGTGTAAATAATCAGGATCTTTATTTATCAAACTAAATGTCTTGATAATTCCTGCTTGAACATTATATAGTAGTTACACATTCATTCATTCAATGCATTGTTATTGAGGACATACTTTTGTTCTACATACTTTGCTAACAACTATCAAGAAACATGAAATAAAAGCCCTGTTTTCAAGTTGTTTACAGACTAGGCAGGAAGAAGACAGGTGCAGTGGTTACCACACGATGTGTGAATGTTCTAGTGGAGATGTGCTCAAAAAGCTGTGAGAAGCAGGGAGGGAGGACACTGATCTAGAAAGTTTCATCTAATAAAAATGATAATGCTTGTGCTAAGCCCCAAAGAGGTGAGAAAACCTGGGAATTTGGGGAAGTGGTAAGAAGCTTAGAGAGACCGAAGTAAACTTTATGTGGGGATTAGGAGGAAATGAAGTTGAAAAAAAAATAGATGATGAATGAGTGAGTATAGAAGAAGAAGAGGACTGAGAATGGTTTATCAGTCTTCTATATGTTAAGATCAGTTCGCGTTCCCATGATGTTCATGTTCGTTTATATTCTGTGGGCATACTGAGCAGCCCACCTTATATTAGCCTTGTGTTATGAGAGAATGTAGTCTTTGTAACTGAGACAGAATTAAGCAGAGTAGCATAGCTAAATAAATGTTTCCACAGCATATGTGTGCACAGATCATAATATTTTATTAAAAATTGGTATTAACTTATAAAAATGCCAAAAAAGTTTCCAGGGAAATAAGACTGATTTTTTTATGTGTGTGGGGAAATCCTATGTGCTAAAAAGAAGTAAGCCATACCTATTAAGTTCTTCCTCCTTGTCAAATTCAAGAAAAACAATCAGTTCAATTTCATAATTATTTCTAGAAAACTGTTGCAATGAATGTGCTCTAACAGTAAAGATGTTCAAATATTCAAACAATTGGTTATTAAAGCCTGATTGAGGAAACAGAGCTAAAATTTAAATAGTTATTATAATAATAATGATAAAAGTGATGATGATGATGGTTAATTTGAGCACTTACTGTGTGCCAATCTTCTACAAAATGTTCTGCCTACATCATCACATTATTATTCAATCCACGTAACAATCCTTTGAGGTAGATATTAACGTTTTTGCGAGAAGCTAAAGCTTGAGGAACTTGTGTAAATTTTCACAGCCTATGAGTGGCAGAGTTTGAACTTAAATATAGGTATGACTCAAAAAAGGGAATTTTCTTGGTATTAACTAGAAGGTGAAGTTCAAGATTGGAGAAGAGAGAGCACTTTGAAACTGGAGTAGCTAGCCAGTGGTACCTAAGAATCTGCACTGCCTGAATTTTCTTCTTTATGTGTAAGTACCAGGCATCGCCACTGGGTGGCAGGCTTATGTCAGCAGCGGTAGTAAGAGAGCTTGATGCTATGCCAAGCACCCTCTAAGACAGGTACTTTATTCTCGTACTAGAACTGGAGTTTGAGTTTGGTGGGACCAAGCCTCCTCTAGAGACAATCAGAGGGATGAAGAGGACTCTGTATTAGTCTGAAGAGGAATCTTTGTTTTTTATGGCTGTTGTAAAAATTAACAATAAATTTGGTGGCTTAAAACAACACATTTTGTCTCTTACAGTTCTGGAGGCCCAGAATTCTTAATCAGTTTCACTGCATAAAGAAAATCAAGGCGTCAGCAGGGCTGTTCTCCTTCTGGAGGTTCTGGGAAAGCTTCTTTGCCTTTTCCAGCTTCTAGAGTTGCATTCCTTGCATTCTTGGGCTTATGGCATCTTGCTCATCTTCGAAGCCGACAGCATAGCATCTTTAACTCTCTCTCTGTTTCTGTCATATTATCTTCTCTGTAATCAAATCTCCCTCTTCCTTCCTCCTATAAAGGCACTTATGATTACATTTAGATCCCACCTGGATAATCCAGGGTAATCTACACATCTCAAAATTCTTAATAAAATCTGCAGTCACTTTTGCTGTATAAGGTAACATTCATAGATTCTGGGTTATTAGGACATGGATATATTTTAGGGACATTTTCAACCTATCAGAAAACCCAGAAAACATTTTAATTTTCTTAATTAAGAATTTAGGGTGAAATTGAAACTCAAAAGATTTTTGAGTGTGCTTTGAACATAGTTCAAATAGACTAGTGGTATCTGTTATATTTCTAAGAATGAGTAAGACAAACTTTTGCGATGTTCAAATTCCTAATTGTAATTTAAGAAGACCATATATTGGAAGATTGATACAGATTCTATCAGTGAACTTTCCATTATACAAAACAGCATCAAGTAACATTATTCATATTTCTGTATGCCTTGCAGAATGTAGAAATAAAATAATGGTCAAATGATAGAATAAACCAATGGGGTTATAAGTTGAAGCAATACAACATAAAAGTAACTTGATGTACACTTTTTTTCAGCAAAAAAGCTGAGGCTTGACTCCGCCTTGGCAAGAATTAATTTATATGAATTTCTGATTATAGAAACAGACAAAAGAAGGGATTCTTTAGAACTCTGAGTGTATACTTTTCTACCCTTGAGAGAATGGTGTGTATTAAAATAATCAGGCTTTCCCTGATGCGGAGTTGTCTTGTGCTTACATATAACACATTGTAATTTTTCTAGAGATTCACCATTTAGCATACGGTTTTGCTCATATTATAGAATGTGTTTTTTATTTTCAAGTGTTCAGAGTTGCATGGTTATTATATATTTGTATTTCTGATGAATTGAGAGTTGTAGCTTTACTTCACTTATAATGATGAATTCCTGCTCAGAAGTACCACTGTAACATTTTCCATTGTGGCGTTTTCTGTACTAACATTATAGCAAGCGGTGGACACCATTAATACTCTGGTAACTAAACAATATGCATTCATGTAACCACCTTTGGTGTTTGCCATCCCTGAAAAGGAGTACATATAGTCATTTCTTTGTCATAATACTTTTTATAATTTTCTCTCATTTTTAGGAGTGATTCTTAAAAATAATGAGACATTGCTACAACATGGAGTTAAGCCCCAGGAGGTTGTACAAGTGGAAATCTTTTCTTTACAGCCAGATCTATATCCACTCAAAAGAATAACTAGATTAAATGATGTCCCTCAAATCATAACTGTCAGAGTACAAACTGGTTAGTAACTTGATATCTTTTAGATAAAATATTTTCAAGTACCTTTGTAGTTGAACTTTTATTCAGTCTTGGTTTTATCTCCTCAGGCATTGATCTGTACCAGGAAGTGGGTGTTGAGATTATAAAATCTGATTTTCACAAACCATTTCTTGGTGGATTCAGGCATAAAATAACAGGAATAGAATATCACAATGCTGGAACACAAACTTTACCTAAAAAGATTCTTGAAAAACAGAATGCATTTTGTAGGGATACCCAGGTAATATTTTTATTTTTCCATGTAGATTTTTGAAGCTGCAGAATCAACAAATACTGTATTGTGTATCTCTCTAAAATTAAAAATCTTCTAAGGAATTATAGTTTTATAAAATAAAAAAGTATTCTCTTAAATGTGTAGGAAAATATGCTCTCTACTCTTGATGTGTATATAATGAATACTTATTTAAATTTTTTATGTTTATATTTTAGACAGTTTTTGAGAAAAGAAAGCTCCAACAAACTGCAAATACAACATCTACACAGATGACTAAAATTGGTGTGTATGTATCAAATATGACTGATAAACTGGTAACACCAGGAAAATATTTTTCAGCAGCAGAATACCATGCTCAAAGACTGGAGGCGGTAAGATAACTTTTATTATAAGTGACTATTAAAAATTAGATGTTTGAGCTTGTTTTTCTGGTGTGTCTATGTGTGTTTCCCTACGCCACACTTGCATGTGAAAGAACCCACATGAGTACTGTGAAAGAAAAAATTACTCTTAACACTCATTAGAGATGGTAAGGCAGGCTTTATTCAAAAGGGGCTACTACAGTGGAGTTTTATATTTTGTAGTAGGGAAGAGAGATTGGGCTCAGCTTTGAATATAGGGAAAAGAGGGAAATTATAGCCAAGGAGCAGGGTAGGGGTCAGTGGATGGAAAATTACTAAGAGAAAACATCTGGAGTAAGGGAGGATTCTAGCTAAACCAACTTAGCAGGATTTTTGCTGAAGGCAGGCCAGAATGATTAGTCATCATCTGAAACATGGTGCAAGATGAATAACCCGATGGAATATCAAGGGTGATCAGATTTTGAGGGTAGGGATTCTGGTTAAACTGACTTAGCAGGATGCTTGCTAAAACTGAACAATGTAGAGATGAACACAGAATCCTAAAAATCAAGGCTTAGTTAAAAAAGAGCTCAAAGGAACCTGATTAGAATTTGATCAAGGAAAGAATCTTTGTCAGTGTGAGTCATTTTTTATTGGGAATAAAAGCAGTCTTTATCTCCAGTGTGTCCCCCCACCTCCCCTCCTCAGTGTGAGGAACTGGAACGCTAAATGCAACTAGTCCTTCCCTTTCCCTTAGGGAATCCCAGGGACTTTGTGTGTTGCCATTGGGCACTATTAGCTTTGTCCCCTCTGTCCCTTGGCTTCAGTCCCTCTGTCCTTTGGCCTTAACCCTTTTGACAGAATCACCTGTGGAGCTTTCCAGACTAATTGAAATCAAAAGGATATTAACATCTATTTTCTCTGACATTAATAAAGCCACTCCGTCACTTTTACGTTATTGTTTGCGTGGTCTGTTTTTATCCTTTTACTTTTACCCTATTTGAGTCTTTCAATCTGGAATATATTTCTTTTAGACAGCATGTAGTTGGATCTTGTTTTTTTATCCAGTCTGACAATCTCTGCTTTTGATTGGAGTGTTTAATACATTTATATTTAATGTAATTATTGATAAAGTTGGATTATATCAGCCATTTTGCTGTTTGCTTTCTATGTGTTGTGTGTCCCACTTGTTCTCCTATTCTTTTACTGTCTTCTTTTATGTTAGGTATTTTCTAGTACCATTTTAATTCTTCTGTTTTTTTTTAATTTAGAACTTTTATTTTCTATACAATATATACTTTAAAAAATATACAATTCAATAATTTTTTATTATATAAATAGTTATGCAACCACACCACAGTTAATTTTACAACATTTTCATCATCCCAAAAGAAATCTCACACCCAAAGCAGCCACTCCCTATCTCCCTTCAATCCTTCCTGCTTTAGACAACTGCTGATCTACTTTCTGCCTCTGTTGATTTGCCTATTTTGGTTATTTCATATACATGGAATCATACAATGTATAGTCTTTTGTGACTGGTTTCTTTTACTTAGCATAATGCTTTCTAGGCTCATCCATGTTGTAACATGTATCAATACTTCATTCCTTTATATTGCAAATAATATTCCGTTGTAAATACACAACTGTATATACCCACTGAAGGTATGCCAGTATATACCACATTTTGCTTGTCTTTGTCCATTTATCAGTTGATGGACATTTGAGTTGTTTCCACTTATTGGTTATTAGGAATAGAGTTCCTGTAAACATTCATGTTCAAGTTTTTTATATGGACATGTGTTTTCACTTCTCTTAAGTATGTGCCCAGAAATGTATTTGCTTGATTGTCTGGTAACTCTTTTTAACCTTTTTAAGGAACTGCTGGACTGTTTTCCAGAGCAGCTGCACCATTTTATGTCTCACCAGCAGTGTATAAGGATCCCAGTTTCTCCACATCCTTATCAACACTTCTTATTGTCTGTCTTTTTGATTATAGCCATCCTAGTGAGTGTGAAGTGGTATCTTATTCTGGTTTTGATTTGCATAACCTGATGGCTAATGCCGCTGAGTATTTTTCATGTGCTTATTAGCAACTTGTATATATTCTCTGAGAAATGTATATTCAGATACTTTGCCCATTTTTAATGGAGTTATCTTTTTTATTGCTTTATTGTTTACAAAACTTTTTCTTAGTTATTTCCTAAGTGGTTGCTCTATGTGTAGTTCAGGGATTAGAATATACACATCCATTTATAGCAAAAAAGTTTACATTACTACTAACTGAAATGCAATAAAATATTGAAACCTTGCTCCAGTGGAACTCCAGTTTTATTCCTTCTCCTTTGTGCTGTCATTGTCATACAAATGTGTGCATTCTTTTCATGTTCTAAGCCCCATAATTCCTTTTATAATTATTGCTTTTATGTAATTCATTTTTAAATGAGTAGAAAAAAGGAAAATATATTTATACAGTTTTTTTTATTTACCTACATAGTTATATTTTCTACTGCTGTTTATTTCTTCATTTGGGCTAAAATTAACATCTAATGTCTTTTTCTTTCAGTTTGAAGAATTCCCTTTAGTATTTGTATGTGGTTGCTTGCTTGATGGTGTCCTGAAGGCCTCTGAGTCTCTGTTCCTTTATTTTTTTCTCTCCAAAGTGGATAATTTCTAATAATATATCATCAAGTTCATTACTCTTTCTTTTGTCAGTTCAGATCTGCTGCTGAGTCTGTTTTTTGTATTCTCGTTTCAGTTACTGTACTGTTAAACCCCCAAATTTCCATTTGGTTCTTTAAAAAAAAAATTCTGTCTCTTCATTGATATTCTCTCACCATAAATTTTAAATAAAAACATATTCTGTATCTAACCCTAACCATAGTCAATATGGTATTTTCCTTCTGTTGTTCCAAATGGCATTAATCGTATAAAAAAAATGTAGAAAATTCATCACCTAGTTTTTTCTTTTTCTTACTTTGGAGACAACTGTACATGGAACTTTAAAGAAGCTTTTTGTACACTTAACATTATATCACAAGCATTTCTCTACCTTTTATTACTTATTAAAAACATTTTAATGGCACCATATTTTTCTACAATGTAAACAGCATATTATTTACTTTCCTTTGCAGGACATATAGACATGTTTTCATCAAAGTCTTAATGATATATAAATTGTAGTGTGCATTTAAAAAATACTTTGGCAGGAGATATTAGAAGTTGAATTACTAGGGCAGAAATGATGACTTTTTAAAATATTGTACCAAATTTACACCCATAAACCATTTATAAGAGCCCCTTCCACACTGACTTCACCAATAGCACATATTATTTTTCAAATTTTTTGTCATCTTATAGATATTACATATATTGCATATTTTTTGTCAGCCTATCACTCATACTTAATGATACCTTTCATTATAATTAAATTTATTAATAGTCCCCTTTATGGTTTTGCATTTTATATATTGTTATGGAAGGCTGTATCACCCCCCCCAGTCATAAATATAACTTTCTTTTATAGTTTATGTGTTGGGGGTACTTAATCTGGACTTTTCGAATGATATGAAGAAGAGTTATAATTTTTTTCTCAAATGTAATGCCAGTTGCAAAGTACTATGAGTATTCAAGTTTGTTCTCTCCACAGTAATTTAATGTATACTGAATTTTCATTTATACATACATCTGTTTCTGATTTCTCCATTCTCTCATTTATGTATATGTCTTTTTCTCTCTGTCAGTAACGTATTGTTTTAATTATTACTGCTTTATAATATGTTTTGAGAACTGCACATTAGGTTCTATCTCACTGTTCTTCCTCTTTTAAGACTGTCTTGATTATTAATGCAAAATTTTCTTCCATATAAATTTTAAAGTCAGCTTGCAGTTTTCATGAAAAATTGGAGCTCTTGATCTGAAGTACACTGCTCAGTTAGGGAAAAATTGACACCTTTATCCTATTAAACATTAGGGATGTCAGTTAAACATGACATATGAAGCATGTGCATTTTGTCTCTGCTACCTCCTAGCATCGTTTTGCTGCACGTAAAAAGAACTGATGGCAGTGACTTTGTATTTTGTATGACAGGAAACCTGGAGCTAGACTGTTGTTCTGGCCCAGTGAGCCTAGGACCTTGAGAGAGGAGTCTGTAGCCTTAGTCTTTTGACTCATTGCACTGCAACCAGGGGAACCACGGGACTAACCCTGTAGCTGACTATCAGTGCCTCTAATTAGTTCAGCCTGAAGAGGTTTTACCTTTTCAGTCCAAACTAATTTTCACCAAAGGAAAAGATGGAGTTATTGTAGACTTTTGAGGAAGAGTGAAGTTTTGGTGAAATTTTAGTGAGCAGTATCTTGATTGTCTCAGGGTAAAACAGGGTTGTGTATAAATGGGTCAGGTTTGGACTGAGATGTGGGCTGGAGTCCCGTTCCTTTGGTAACAGAGTTAGCAGAGAGATGTGGTATCTTGTTTCTTCTCTGAAGTTCAGCATGTTGGTAGTAAATCAATTCTCTCTGTCAAAGTAACTTCGATCCTTCAGGCAAGAGTGAGATGTTTCAGTCTTAATGATCTAATTTTAGACAACAAAGTTTCTGATAGATTATGATTTTAGAGAACAAAGTTTCTCCGTGAATAAGAAGATAGTATTTACTCAAAGAAAGGGATTGGTACGATATTTTATAGCTGCAGAATGTCCTTGGGAGAAATGCTATTTCCTGCTAATATTGTAGCTGACTTTATTAGGGCCTGTTATTCCAGCCTGATAGATTCTTATTTTCTTAGTCCAAACTAATTTTTAATTTCTTACTGTATGGGGTCTGGCTGGTGGCTCTGTGATGTCATCAGGAACCTGAATTCCTTTTACTTTTCCTCTTTATTAATCTCATCATGAGTTTGTTACTTTGTTATGATAAAATGGTTAATCAGCCTTCAGCATAGTGTTTGCATTCTGCAAGAAGGGAGAAGCCAAGGGGGCATGTCCCATATGTGGCATTCAAGAATTTTCCCTGAAAGCCCTACCCAGGGATTCAGCTTCTATCTCTTTGGCCTGAACTGGGTCATGTGACTATCCTGGCCACCAGTATGTGATAAATACATTTCTAAAGTTTCACATCGTTGCTCCTCAGTAAGACTGAGATTTTCTTAGCAACGAAGTAGGAGGGAGTAGATATTAGGTGGCAGAATGGACAACACTACTCTATATTACAGCACTTTCCAAATTCCAATAAAATGATGTCAAGGGAATAAGAGAAGTATAAACATACAGGAACAAAGAATATCTGAGAAAAGAGAAGGGTAAATGTCATTTGAGTTTTTAAAGTTGTAAAGCAGATGGAGAAGTGTTAATGTGACTTACTTGAGCAGAGAAAGTGAAAATAAATGCCTGCCAGGGAGAATGGCATCAAGAACCAAATCAGTTTGCCCCAAGAATCCCGGAGAGTGAATTGGAGATTGAGCCATAAACAGAGAGATTGGTTAAAGGCTAGGATAAGGAGTAAATTTCCATTTGGTAAGTTCTGCTTTAACCTTGATTGACTCCTTTCTCTTTGTATTATGTTTATTTTATTCTTGAGCGTCTTGAGTTCGATGCCTAGTATTTATTTTAAATCTTTCTCGTAGTAAGCAAGATTATATTATGTGTGACTACTGATATTTTTGTACTCATTCCTGCCATCTTATTTTGTTTTTTATTTATTATTCATTCTTGCTCTTTGTTTATTCTTTTACTAACCTTCCTTTTTTTTTTCCTTTGGTTTGACCAAACTTTTTAATTTTTTATTCTTTCATAGTTCAGAAGTAGGTATTTTGTTTCTATTTTTCAAGTGGTAACTTATAAAAATTTTCAATGCACTTAATCAGGCTCTCTGTCTTTTCCATGAACAAATCAACGACCCTGGCAGGCTCTTTTTCATTTCCTGCTTCTCCTCCCTCATTCCTCCCAGCCAGTGAGGATTTGATCTGGAATTACAGTTACATGTATATTACATAATTATGATTTACTGCATAACTATAACTTCAGATTGTTTTATATATTTATATGGATATAATACAGAGAATTTTTTTTCAAATAATATGTATTTAGCCCTAATAAGTTTTTGAAAGTTTTTGCTCACTTCTTTAATTCTTTCCCCTTAATTTATTGTTCTTGTTGGAACGTATTCTCTAAGTAATTATTTCAGAGATTATGCCTGGGAGGTGAGCCATCTAAGGCACATTCAATGAACCTTACTCTTGGGTTTTGGTTTGAGTGGGTGTAGAAGGTTAGATCCAAACTTATTTTCAAAATGATTTTCTTTTATAACTTCAGAGCTGTTTTTAATTAAAAGTCTGATGTCAGTGGGATTCTCAGCTCTTTGTTTCCTCTTCCTGGGAGCTTTTAGGGTCTTCACTTTATCCTTAGTAATCTTACTGTGATGTGCTTGAGACTTGGGGATGGATCCTTTCTGAGAGCTCATGTCTTTCTTTAGTTTTGGGAAATTTTCTATGAAATTTTGAGCATTTTCTCGAATCCAGTTTTCTTCATTCTGCCTGGAACTTGTAGCAGACATATTTTGGAATGTCTGCTTTCGTCTTCCATATCTCTTAATATTCCTCCATTCTTTCTAATTTTTATGACCTTTTACCCTGCATTCCAAAAGATTTTCCTGTCGAAGTTTCTTGCTTGCTAGTTCCCTCGTAGGCTCTGCACATTCTGCAGAACAGCCTACAATAAACTACTAGTTACTGGCTGATGTCCATTCTTCCCATTGTAGTAAAGCTTTGGCTGGGCCGCACCACTGAAGGCCGCATTTCACAGCTCTTTTCTGTGTTGGTGAGGCCAGAGGACTAAGGCCTGGAAAAGGGGATGAGGGAGCTGATGTGTTCCCCTTCTGGACATTGTTCTTAAAGTGACTGGGTGGTAATTCTTTTGTCTTTTCCCCTCTCTACTGGCTGGAAGATGGGAAGTGGACCAGCCACTGGGACACAGGAGTAGGAAGCCACTTGGTGAGTGAGGCAGAGCTTCCTACTAGCCCCACACCGCTTGCCAGTCCCTGAGCCAGTCCCGGGATTACCATGCGAGAAGGGAAAAACTGTTGTTTAAACAACTGTGTTTTAGTATCTTTACAAGTTCAACAAATTTAATAACACCCAAGCTAAACACATTGTACTGATATTTTAAATTTCAAAACTAAAAATTTTGTCACAGTGTTTTGTTGGTTCTTTTTTTAAAAAAAGATTTTATTTATCTATTATTGTACTACTTAATTATTTTTACTTTTGGTGGGGCAGGTAACTAGGTTTATTTAGTTTTGGAGGAGGTACTGGAGATGGAGCCCAGTACCTCGGGCACGCTAGGCCTGCACTCTGCCACCTGAACTATTCCCTCCTCCTCGGTTCTTTGATGTTGATTGAATAGCCTTTCCTTTCTCTCTGAAAATACTCACTCTGTCTGGTTTGGCCTTGTTTTTCTTTTATTTTGTTTTAGTCTGGAAGAGTGGCGCTAAAACTTTAGCGTGCATCAGAACACCTAGAAAACTTGTAAATACACAGAATCTGTATTCCCCTCCGAATCTCTGATTCAGTGGCTCTGGGGTGGGGCCTGAGAATTTGCATAACAATTTTCCAGATGCTGCTGCCACTGGTGGTCTGGCCATCATGCTTTGAGAACCTCTGTTCTAGTAATTCTGTTTCACACAAATGTAAGTTCTAAGTGACTGAGGAGCCTTTTATTTTGTTGCCTCTTCTCAAATGTTTGGTTATTCTTGGATATGAACCCAGGGTATTTGAAATTCCAGATGTCCCACGTGCTACAATGTATTTGGCTGTGATAGTCTTACCCCAGCGGCTTTAGGGGACGGGCAAGACTTGATTCTGGAAGAGAGCTAGTTTTCTGGAGAGGGGACTTTTATTCATCCTGGGTATCACCAGCCTTGTGGGACACTAACCACGTTTACCTAGAGGCAAATACCTCTGCTGCTCTTTATCTAAATTGTCTTAGAGAGCCTGTCCCTTTTGCAAAGGGGCAAGCAGTCACTTTGTTAGTTGCCCTAAAACCCCTTCTGCAAACTGGATGCGCCAGTTTGCGAGGCACTTCTGGGTTTTCTAGCTTCCTCCCCAGTGCATGACTAGATAGGTTCCTTCTTCAATTTATTCCGCCTGTCTCCTTTCCTGAGGGGACTCTTCACAGTTCCTGTTCTGTTGGAGGACTCCTGCAGCATGGTCCAATATGTTTATTGATTTCTGTTTATGTGCTTTTTCTGTAATTATTAGGGATCAGGATGAGGGGAAGGGCTGTGTCAGCACGTTCTCTACCCTCAGTCTTGACCTAGCCTCTCCATGTATTTCCTTTTTTTAAAAAAAAAAGAATTTAGGAAATAAAAGCAAGAACTCTCTCAGTTACATTGCAAGCTTTTTGAGGATCTGGTACTATACTGTGTCTTTAAACATATATATTTTCCTCCTAATTTAATATATCCTTGTTTGCTTTGGTGGTTTCTACACATAACCTACCTGCTGAGTGGTTAGTAGATTACATTTTAAAAAAGATATGAGCATGGCTAATGACAGTTAAGATAAACTAGAGATAACTAATATTTATAACAATAACAGTATTCATCAAAGTGTACCAGGCTTGAGCTAAGCCCTTCATATGCATACTACTATTATCACTGTTTTGCAGATGAGGGTCCTAAAGC